GGTAAACGCAGTCCCAGTTCACACAGGAAAGGGGGGGGGTGGCTGTTTCGAAAGGTTTCAGAGACAAACTCTTAAATACAGGGTTCTGCTAATTTTAAGGTAACCTGTGCGGGAGAAACTCGCAGACGGTTATGCTGATCGGCCAGGAATTGGTCAGACTGTTTGTTTTAAGACACTTGCAGCTCTGCAGAGAGGTGTGTAGATGAGAACAGGAGCGTCTGTTGAAGGGTTAATTAATTTCTAATCTTAGCATTTTTAAGAGGTTTAGACATGTTGGTCCGTTCAAAGCAGAAACAACAAAGTTCTCTGGGACCTTTTAAGACTAATAAGCTTTATTTGGCATAATGTTTTTTTGGGGGGGGGCTACAGCAGTCCACTTTTCCAGATGCAGTGCAGGTTCTCAGCATTTTACTGTGTTGTTAGGTGGGTTTAGTGTAGCTGCCGCAGTAGTACAGATAGACGTTTACACACATGCCATCCTAGGAGCTCCACCAACTCATTACTTGGCTTTTGCAAGAGGGGAGCCCCGTCAGCGTCATCTTGTTTCTGGGCATTGCCCAACTCGTGAGGTCCAGCTCCAAGATGATCTTTTTACAAAGCATCACCAGGAACCAAACCCCTGCCAGTAACAGAAAGACAGTACTGCGAGGCTAGTGCTGGCTACCCCTGCTTTGCCCGCCTGCTAAGCAGCACCATTCAAATCATGAGCAGGGTAGACAAAACATTCATTGGGAACCAAGACTTTCTGGGTTTTCTGCTTCCTGCCTTTCCAAGCAACGAGGGTGCCAGAAGTCATCTTACCCCTCAGCGAAAGAGGCGGTGGTTATACTGTGGAGGGCAGAGCTGATGTGTTTTGGCCCCTTTCCCTAGATTAATCCCTTCCACAGTCGTATTGGTCTTCTATGAGTGCCCTTTTCCCTGGAGAAGCAGTGGATACGGCTGCCGTTGAGTCCCTGCAAACATAAGATATCCAGCCGTTTCCCTTTGTGCCCATCCTATGGGAAAGCAGCAGTTCTTCTTAAAACCTGTTCCACAGGTTATGGTTAATTGGGATTGTCGAAGAGATACTCCGTGAATGCAGCTAGCTATTGGCAAACACAGTTTGGGATTGTCGAAGAGACACTCCGTGAGTGAATGCAGCTAGCTATTGGCAAACACAGCATTAAATGTGACACGGGGGATTGGGATTACAAGGAACATCCATACGGTACAGAGGAAAGTGGTTTGTCAGGTGAGCTTCTTAAAGAGTGAATAGACTATAGAAACGTGGCCGTTGTCATCAGAAGATGCAGGTGCGTCGGCTCCTAAAATTCCTTGAAACGTGGGAGGAGGCAGGAAATGGCAAACGGACTCCGATATTCTCAGTCCTCATTTGATGGCTTCAGCCTCTCAGTGGAGTTTGAGGTTTCTCTTAGGACTGAGGTACATAACGAATAGGTTCCTTGTATGGTGTAGAAGATCTTGGCTGGATCCCATTATTGCAGACCACAGGTGGAACTCGCGTGGTTAAAACGACCCTCTGTTTAAAAGGATAACCGTCCGGATAAGATAGCTTTGCCAGAGGGAAGGAGTTCTATCTTTTCCTCTCTTCGTCCAGGCTCTTTTTCTCGGTTCAAGTATCGGCACCTTCTCGAGGAATGTACAAATGCGGAATTTCACCCCCTTATTTGTCGTTTTAAGCGCTGTAGCATTGTAGAAATTCGACACGTCTATATGGAGATTTTGGCAACATCGCTCTTTAAACGGCTATCAGGCATTGAAACACTACTATTTAAGTAAGATACAGCTGGCAAGGCATGTTGAATAGTTACTGTAATTTAGGGCAAAAAATAAAACCAGACAGCTGGGCAGATTCACATTTACAGGTGATAACATCTGTTTATACTTCCAGAACAGCATCCTCAAAGCTGCCATGTTTTTTAAAACCAAAATGCAAAGAGAGCCCCTTTTTGTCTTCCTGGTGACCAGTCACCAGCCAAATGGAAGCCAGTTTTGCAACGTACGCAGCTGTGAAGCCATGATGAGGGTAATCAGACATGCCCTGTTATGTGATTAAGCCTGTCCTGCTTCTAGTTGAGAAGGTGCCTGTTGGTTGGTTTTGGCCGTTGCCTGCTAATTGTTAAGATTCTGATGAGCAAATACTGTACATCGATGTTATATTGAGAAGGTTAAGCAGATGGTTTGGTGCAGACAGATGGAACTGAATATAATTCTCTGTAAAATTGCCTGACAGAGGCCCAAGAAAACCATTCAGAGGGCCCCACGCGGACAGCATGGAGTCATGGGTCCTTGTTAGCCTTCCTACACCTTCATGTTTCAAAAATGACGAGGACTCAAAAAGAGTCTGGAGCTGGAGTGTGCGGCCATCCTTCCATGGAAATAGTGAGAGGCCAAATCTTTTGTTGCCTCTGATGCAGTGAATGCACGTCTCGGTTGAAATTCAGTTCTTTGGAAAAGAGCTTAAAGCAGAGAGAGTTGAAGAGCCAACAGCTACCTTTCCCTCATCTCTCTGTACTTCCATCAGAGTTAGAATGGCCGCTTACACAGCGTTCATACGGATGTCGCCGAAAGGGATCTCTGTGGCCGTTTCTGGTGTAATGCTTTTTAGGATGCGCTGTGAAGGAGGAAATGAAGACGTGTTAGTGGGGTGACACATCCCTTATTTGAGCGGCGATATTGGTGTTGGAAGGCATCTCGAAAATTTGTGCCCCACCCTGGATTAAGAAAAGTTTGAAATCAACCATTACAGAAGAGGGCAGAGAGCTGAGCAATGGGCTAGACTGGGGTGATCCCCGAGACTTAGATTATTTTCAACTGTTCATCCTGATAGTTTCAGTGAATAACTGGGTAGAAATCAACATTTAAATAGATTTTTAATTGGAATCAAGATCAAGCGAACCATCAATCCTAAGCAATTAGTGAAGGAATTTGCAAGAACAGAATGAAGATTGTTCCTGGTCACTAAGGAGGAGACTTGACATTTTCAGTGGATCTATTAAGTAATCAGTAAAATAGGCAAGATAGTTTCTGAATATGTAGAGAGAATCTTAGTATATACCTCTAGTTGGAGCCAGAAGACAGAGTGGCTGTGTTGAGGGATACATCCACCGGTGAGACCTGTGTTATTCCCTCAAAAGTCTCCATGGGGCAAATCTACCATCAGCTATCTTTCCCCCAGCCCCTCAAAATTATACTAATCCATCCAGACAAAGTGAGGATGAGGAAGGTTTCATTTGGATCCCACAAACCCTACTGGACGGCCTTGGATCAAGAGCATGCTTGGGGGAAATCTACCTCTTTAAATGTTCCTGGCGTACTTGCCAACCGGTACACCATGTAGGCGGGAATGCAGATGAAGGACGATGTCCCGATGCAGTAACCCAGTACCATGGTCCAGTACGGATAGTCGTAATCAAAGAGGCGGAGGGCTGGAGGGCTGGATAGGAAGCTGCAGATGATGAACTGAAGAGAGAGAGAGAGAATGTCAGCATGTTAATACTTCTGAAATGGTACAGTAGCAGAGACGTAGGAGGCAGGCTCTGCTGGAGAATCTCCTCCTTAGAAGTTGACCCCTAGAAGTCTTATTGAAAGCCAAGAAGAGCACAAAGGGGTCCTGTAATCTACTGGTCCAAGCAATCAGGTTGGTTACGTGCCCAATTTTGCTGCAAATTGATTGGTTAGATCAGAGCAGCTTGAGGAGAAAGGGGTTCCTGTATGTGAAGGAAGAACATACGAAGAGTGGAGGCGAGACTTCCCAGGGACCCTTTTTCATTTTGCCTCCCCTCTTGGGGGAGTGTATGTAGCTGCACAAACCTGGGAGAGATTTAAGATCACCGAGAACTGCTTCTAGCTCTGCCATCAAAATTCATCAAGCTGGTGGGAATCGGGAGGCCCTTTAAATAACTGCCCCCTGTTTTGGTCCCCCCCCCCAAAAATGCAAATGGAAGTTTGCTAAGTTCCTTCATCGAGTCATAAAAATGCAGTTGTTCCAGACTTTATTCCATTACAAGCGGACTTTCAAACAGCAACTGTTATTTGCCCCCCCCCTTCTGTAATCAGACTGTTGTTTGCATTTTAACATTTGGCTTCGGCTTTCATTAGCTTTTGTTAAGCCGCTTTCAGAGGTTGTCCCTCTGTAAGGCAGCGTGTAGTGCTTTAAATAGATATTCTTATTTTACCCAAACTCCTTTCCCACTCTTCCAAGTATTATTCTGATCAGCCATTTTTTTTCCGTCTCTCTTCCCTCCCTGTTCCATTTGTTCTCATCAGCTAAGAAAACAAGTGAACACATAAAAGAGAGGAAGTGAGGATCGTACTGGTGCATGCTTTTTCACTATTGCCATAACCTCTGTTCCACAAAAACAACAGTTATGAGGCCAAGCCATGCTTAGCAACGCCGCAGGACCATCGCCCTGCCTCTGTCTTATTTTAGCTAAGGTTCTCCACTCCTGCTGAGTAACCACAACATCTGGGCATAGTGCTCTTAATTTCATTTTACTGTCTCGGGTTCATAAAGAGTGAAGTGTGTGTGGTATGTGTTTATGAACGATTGACGTGGCTACCCATTATTTATATCCTTTCTACTTCTGGTCATAAAATGGAGAATGGTTGAATGTGCATAAATCACCCCTAGCAAGAGTTGTTTTTGAAGTTGACTACTGCCATCAGTAAACCCTACACCTCTCCTTCCTCGCTCAGTGCCAGGAGTTTTAACTACATTAAAAAAGCAGACAGAGGAGCTAATTTGGGAACAGGGGAAACTAAGCCTTTGTTTAGTCATGCTAGGAGCAGCTTTGACAGATCTGCCACAGGGGACAGAGGCTCCGACTTAGGGTTTTTTTTTCTTTATTCATTTAATTAACTAAGAATTAGTTAATTCTTTAATTAACCCTCTATTTTTTAAAATAAAAGTTTGACTCTTATCACTTGAAAATATTTGTCTCTAACTATTCTTCTACTGGTCTTCCTACTCTCCCCTCCACATCTTAAACTTAACATTCAGTTTAAGAATTTAATGATGATGATGATGATGATGATGTACCGTCACGTCAGTTCTGACTTACGGCAACCCTTTCCAGAATTTTCTAGGTAGAGTATTCTGATGTGGTTTGCTCTTCCCATCTTCTGGGGCCACCCCGGGATGGTGCAGCTTGCCCAAGGCCACCCAGGCTGGCTCTGTTGGGATGCCGAGTGGGGAGCTAAACTCTTAACCTCTGCAGTCAGATACTTAACTCACTTGAGTTTTTCCAACCAGCTATTAAAAATATAAAAGAAATATGAAACACCTTTCTTCCAATCCAGTCCCCTTCCTGTGTATTAGACTGCAGTTCCACCCACCCACCGAGATACCCATGGCTACGCTGGTTGGATGGTGGAAGTTGAAATCTAGATCATGTGCGTATTGAGGAAGGCTAATCCAAAATACACGGTTGGTTGCCTTGACATTGTGGGAAACATGACACTGAACAAAATAGTAATGTTATCCACGGTTGGCCCTTCTTCCATAAAAAGCAGAACTTGGAAAGATTAAGTCTTGTGATGTTAAATCCTGAAAATATTAGAAACCTTTTCATAGAGATTAAACCAATAAAAGAATTTGAGGGGATGAAGTCTTTCATTAAAAGCCATTTTAAATTTTAAGGAGGTGTTTGCCTGCCCCCTAGGCCGACAAAGCAGAGTAACAACCCAAGTCGTGTTTATGGAGCCACATCCAGGAGCCTCTTTTCAAATGTGGGCTGTGTTTTTCTGGACTGAGTCCAAGGGCTTGTCCCCATTTTAAATTAGCATCACCATCATGGTTTATTTAAACCAGTGGCAGCCAGTCCCCCCATTGACCTTCCGCAACCAATGCTGTGTGTTTTCTCAGATGGTGTTGTTGGTTTGCTAAGCGAATGGCGGTGAAGTGCCCGGAATCAAAACGGAGCTTCTTTATAAATGCTGCGGCCAAAATGACAGGCTTACCAGGAGGAAGACAGGGCTGATGGCTACCCAACAGATTCTCCAGAACCATCCAGGGCTGAATCCAAGCATCTCTTTCACATCGTTGCAAAACTGGGAGACGCCTGTTAGAGAGACAGGGAGTTTGGGCTGTGTTAGTCCCGTGTTGCTATGAATTGGGACTGAAGCGTTAAAAATGAAGCAGGACGATTGCTATTGGTGCCCTAGCTTTGGTTCTTGGAAAAAGACGTCGGCTTTCAGACCAAAAAGAATCATTTGCTTTTCTTCCTAATTGAAGAGTTGAAGGAAAGACTCACAGAGAAAACAAGAAAAATGGTGGGATTTACCAGAGCCCATGATTCTGCTCTTTACCAGCTCACTGTAAAGACTGCTGTATGAAAGCTGCCCTTATGCCTTGTTAAAAGCTGGAAGATCTAAGATGAAGGGTTTTCCTACAAGGGCAGTTTGGCAGGAGGCTCGGAGGCTAGCTGGGAGAAGCACCAGCGCACAACGAAACTCACCGTAGAACCATGCCACTGCGATGGATTCGATAAACACCACCGCGATCAGACTCGGGCCCGTAGCATATTCTTCAAATAGCTTCACCACGTATGCACCACCCTGAGGGGTAACGAAAAAGATCACACTGAACATGGCGGGTTTGCTCCTGGTACCCAGAAGGTTCATTAGAACGCATGGTTCATTAGGAATAGGATATACTGTAAAAACAGAGCTTGAACAGCATTGAAATGTACTGTAACCAGCCACATTTTTTTTTCGTGCTGGCACCACCAGAGTAATCCTCGGTGGGCCTAATGGCCTATTTCTTCAGCTGGCCTGCCTTGCCTGGTGTCAAACAAAGGAAAACACATTATTGGGATTTATGTGAATCCGATAGGATCTGTGCCGCCTCTTTCTCTAGTGAATTGTCTTGAAAAATGTGTGCTTCTAGCTGAGAAGAAAGCTGAAGGCAGAACCTATTGGGACCCAGGCTTATCCAGAGGGAAGGAAATGGTGCCTCCAGCAGGAACTGGGGCGCCTCGTTTGTGAGGAAGTTTTCGAGATCAAGGAGGATTTGCTGATAAAACACAATGCAAAATAAGTTCCTTCTAATGGAACGCCAACCTACATTTGGCCAGCTCGTATGCTTCCCTATCAGTGGCTCCCTATTGTGAGTCCAATCTGTTAGCATCAGAACAACAAATGCATACCAGTGGAGACACCAAAACCCTTTCGGATGCAGGATTTGCGTCCTACGCCTTTCTTGCCAAAGGACCCAGAGCTCATTCATGGCTCAGTTCTCTAGCATTTGCATGAAATGACTTTGAGTTTGTGTTTGTCTCATAATGGTTCCTGGCAGCTAGGATGGTGGGCAAAGGTCATCGTAGGCTATGAGGACTGGTTTCTGTTCCCTCCTGTTGGAAAGTTGTCTCAAGATGCTCTGATATGATGCACATAAGAAGTGGTAAGAAGTGTACAAAGGCTTTTTCGTCATTCTGTGCCAATTCAGAGGACTTTCCCATGCTACAGAAAGTCCTCCGGACTGACGGTGGCCAAGAGAGACGGGGAATGAGATCAGATTTAGAATCGCGCAACCATTTCTCTCTCTTGCTTTGCAAAAGATTCCGGAGCCCGGATTTCAGATAGTATGCTTTGCACCGACTCAGAACCTTTGGATGGCTTGGCTGGCACAGGAAGGGTGAGATACTCACAAAGGTCAATGTCGAGAGTGCGCCCATGAAGCAAGTCACCATGAAGCCCAGCACAAACAGCTCCCGGCGCTTGCTCCAGACGTGTGGGAATTCGTCGATAACGGCGGTTACCACCCCTTCTAGGCCTGCAAACTGTAAAAAGCATATTGAGAAAACATAGGGGAAAAAAAAGAAGTTGGCCACTGTCTCTTCCGGAGTTCTTAAAGCCTGCAAAGGGATCTGAATCCAAAGTGTTCGGGGTTTGAATACTGACCCCATTCCAGAGTGGTGGAGTAACTAGAAAATTTAATGCTGAGGGTCTGAGCAAACTTAGACCAAATCAGATTGAGCATCTCTAGCCAAATAAAGTGACATGAATCACTAGTGAAGACTTGTGCTCAAGAGGAAGCTGGACACACAGACACCCACTTACAAATCACCTCAGGATCAGGCCTGTGTCCAGCGATTTCATTGCACAAACTCCAGCCCCCCCCTGCACTAGCAATTGCATGTTTCCAGAGCCTGAACGGGATGTATCCCAAGATTTTCAGGTGTGTACACAGTTGTACAACTGCTGGCACAATGATTATGCAGTGCAGCTGCTCTAGTAGTGATTTCCCTTCTAGCATGATGCTGGATTTGGACCTTGACTATTCCTGCGCAGCCACCCACTCAATTGTCCAAAGGGACCATGTTTCCATTCTTCCACTTTGAACTGGCTGAGCCCAGTTGACTTTGTGTTTCGTTAGTTCTTCCGCTGCCTCCGTTACCTGTCACTGAATCAAAGTTGCTCACCGTGCTGTCTAACCCCAGGGTGATCAGCATTAGGAAGAAGATGATGGCAAAGAAAGTTGAAGCGGGCATGTTTGCGATCGCCTCTGCATAGGTGATGAAGAGAAGGCTGGGTCCTGTAAAGTTAGTGAAGAAGAAGAAGAAGAAACAGGAATGATCATGCCGGCTGGGTCCCTGTTTTGAGAGCAGGACTCTACGTCCTACAGGTTATTTCTTCCGGGATTTTAAAATTTATTGACATGACACCTTTCCAACTTCCTGCAGTGTTTTCTGCAGTACTCACATGGAAAGGAGGTACCACGCAACTGTGTAACATACCAGCCTACCCCAGCCTAGTTTTTCCAGGTGCCACAATTCACTTTTCTGGCCCCCGAATGGAAGCTGAGGTTCAGAATAACATTCCAGCGTCAGACTGGAGAGGGCTTAGCCGTAGCTTATCACACAAAAACAACCCAGGCAGCTTAGTTTGTAATCAGCAGACAAATATAATCAGCAACTACTTCACATTGTTTTCATTGTTTCCCATGATCTAAAACGTCTCGGGGAAATAGCTTGTCTGATCTCAAAAGACAGGGAGTTCCACAGCCTCATTACTGTGATGGAGAGATCTCGTGCACCATCTGCCTCTCTGACAGGAATGCGATATAGGGCAGAGCCGAGCTTTTCCGAAAGAACTACGTGGACAGAGGAGATGGTGCGCAATGGGCTGGATATCCAGGTCAACTGATTCAAATCTAATAATAACCAGGACCTTGAAATGTGCCCAGAACGAACCAGGAGCCAACGTGGCTAGCGTTGCGATGGAGCTCTCTCTGGACACCCAAAATCCTTACAGTATTTTGGTTTTAGTCTATTTTAGGAGACAATAGACCCCACCCTTGAACCTATTCCCAGGACAGCTGACACCATCAAAATACAATAAACAATTAAAATATAATAAAATATAAACTGGCTCCGGCTAAAAAGTTGGGCTGACGCAGTTTGGACGGCTGGCAGTTTCCGAAGACGGTTTCAAGGGAGACCCACTTAGACCGATCCAACCTTTATGCAACCGAAAGGCATGCGTGGCCACGGCCAGGAGCGATGCTTTTGCCAACAAAGCATGATCTGGTGCCAGGTTGAATGGCAGGCTGACCTTAACGGGTGCCTGAATGAGGCTATTTTAGTAAGGAAGTTGCGTGTTCTGTGCAGCGCTATCTCAGTCTTGCACCTAGGGTTTCACTAAGTGGTCGGGCTTTCCTCCTTTTGTGAGTAGCTTTGTGTTTAATCGTGGCCACTATCAGTCCGCCATCCATCACATTCCCCTTCCAGCACTAGGAAGGCTGAGTGCTTAAGGGCAAAAAAATTTAAAGGTCCAAGAAGGAGTCCCATGCCTTCTTACTTTCAGATCCCAGAAACCAGCCTGGACGGAACAGTACATGGCATGCTGAAGACCCTAAACTAGTCTGCTTCCTCAAAGTGGTGTGGCAGAGGGTCCTACTCAGTGTTGAGCAAGGTTCAAGGTGGGCGTGCTGTGTGACCCTTTGCTGCGGGCAGAAGAACATCCTTGTGCCAGCCCTAAAGCCAACTCTGCTGCTCCGAAAGCTAGTCTGAAGAAGGGAGAATTAGCCCTCCAGGCCTGAGCAGTTCCTACAGTATAATCTCACTGCCCTCATCCTTCTCATAAGAAGACCTGCCTTAACTTTCCTGGAAGTTATTGCCTGGTCTGTTCCAAGAAAAGAGATTTTTTTTCTCCACCGCACCAGACAGCTCGGCCTATCCGTGTGCTGAATGGAAAGCTGAAAGATTCCCTCCCCCTCGAATATCTGGGTCAGACATGCACCCCTCCCATACTGGGGTTGGTTCCTGTTCTACCTTCTGTACCTTCACAACTTTATCAAGTTGGCTAGCATCTGCTGCTTCAAACAACCACGTCATTAGAACCGGCCCTGAAAGGAGACAGCCGGGAGATCGATCCACAGAGGAGGAGAAGGAGGGGGAGTTACCCGTGTCTTTGGCGACTTCCGATACATCTTGTTTCCGCATCTCAGCCATGTAGCCGAGCACAGTAAAGATGACGAATCCGGAGACGAAGCTGGTCATGCAGTTCACAGCACTGGTGACCAGAGCATCCCTGCAATGAAAACCCAAAATGGCACCTCTTGAGCATTGAAACGTGCTTCTGATGTGTCCCCACACCAGCTCCCTGTGCTCTCCAGCTGGTAGCCTGCCCTGGAAGCTCACACCGAAATTGTTGGGTCAGGGATCCTCCCATAAGGAGAAGCGTACCAAGGTTTTGCCACCTGTCTGTGAGACACCTGCTCCTTCTCTGATCTGGCAACTAGAAATCTGGCTGTCAGCTGGAAAGCCAACCAGCCAAACAAACCTGTTAACCCGGTGGCCCTTACCTGTTTGACTTTTCTGCTCAAGTTCCAGCCTTAGTCTTAGAGGTGCCATGGAAGGTAGAAAAGAGAACCTCAAAAGAAGCCGTTTAGAGTTTGTGGTGGCCGGGGCCAACTGAGATTTGAGACAAGGAGTGCTGAGCTGATGTCACCCACAGGGTGTAATCCTGCCTGGGGCTTTGTTGCTAATATTCTTGCACAAAGGAGTCTCTTGGCTGTCCTGACAGATGACTTAAGGAGCAGTCTGCTGCCCCGGAGCCACCAGGAAAAGAGAGACATGGACAAAAGATAAGGGTGCAATTCCCCTAGGAATGGACTTGGGGTCCTTGGCATACTGAGCAGGTTCCCTCCCCCTTAATTTGGGTCCCAGCTTTTTCAAGGAGATCTGCATAGTCGGTTCCTTGATACAGACAGGCTACAGTGTGACTCTGGTGTTCTTCAACTCTGAAAAGAAAGCAAAGTGAGCCTGATTTTTTTCTCTCTCTCTCATAAAGGGTCAAGAGAGTGTAAAATCGTGCTTCCTGGACTTTAGGTACACCATATTCTCCACCACGAAGTCACCTCTGGGTGTCATTTTCTGTGTGTGGCTTGGAGCCTCCCCTCCGCCCTTGGGGAAGGACCTTTGAATCATGACTGGAGTGTTTTCCCTCTCCTGGACCCTCTTGGTAGAACTTACTTGAAGCAGTTGTTATGAAACTTGTTGTAACTCGCGAAGGCCAGAAGGACTCCGAACCCGGGGCCAAGAGAGAAGAAGATCTGAGCGGCAGCGTCCACCCACACCTGAAGAAGAAAGATAACAACAGGAAGGAGCAATTCACAAGGAGTTCAGTAAAAGGCATCCACTGGTTGTGGAAAAGCAGCGCTACGGTTTGGAGGGGACAAAGGCCTTCGCCTGTGAAGGGTAAGGTCTGGTAAATGGGTGACTTTCTCTGGAAGGAGGGAGATCCCGACTGGGATGGCTGCTGCAGAGCCAAAATAGAGGAGGAAACCAGAGCTACCCACAGGCATCCTTTCCTGCAACAGATGCTCTCCGTAGGAATCGAAAAGGGAGCGACAGTCACAGGCGCTGCTTCCCAATTGTCAAAGTCTGCTTCGGTTGTTGTTCTTCTCCGGGTGGTCAGATCCCACCCACCGTGGTGGAAAGCCGGCTGCTTCCCAATTGTCAAAGTCTGCTTCAGTTGTTCTTCTCCGGGTGTCAGATCCCACCCACCGTGGTGGAAAGCCACTTCTTTGAGAGCATCTCCTGCCTTGGAACAGTTCTCCGAGAGAGGATCTGCCTGGCTGTCCTTGTTATAGATCTATTTAGACACCAAGCTAAGATGTTCCAGGCACTCCACCTTCAGGTTCGAGCGCTTGATGTTATTTTTTTACTGCTGGCTTAAAGCACTCTCCGGGCAGTTACAATTCAATTATGCAGGCTACTCATTGCACCCTCAGCAAGCTGGGTACTCAGATCTCAGAAGGATGGAAGAATGAGTCCGTTGGGAGCAGAGGCTGAAGTACAATACTGATATTCAATTTACGATCTCAGAAGGATGGAAGAATGAGTCAGTTGGGAGCAGAGGCTGAAGTACAATACTGTGCCACGAGGCTCAGTAGCATATTTTACAGGTGCTGCAGGAACTTGGTCAACATCTTCAGTGAACTCCCTGCCCCCTTGACCACCCTGAAATGTCTTCCTGACATGGTCACCTAAATCTCCTTTCCCCAGGAGCCATGCGGTTCCCCCTCTTTTCCTCTCTGGACTCAGGAGATGAGGGCTGCCGGGCGTTATGTACCCTTTCTCCTGCAGGAGCCGATGCATGAAAGCTAGACGCTCTGTGGAGATTACGATCTGCTCTTCTACTCTCTCCAGATATATTCAGTACAATACCAACACCCTTTATTGCTTTTAGGGAGGCAACCGGGCCTTATTGCGGATGGGCTGTTATCAGGGAACAGTGTGTCTTCATTTCCTCTTCATTGAACTCTCTTCCTATCCACGGGGGGAGGCTACCAGGCTGGCAAATATTGGAAGCCACAATCTCGTTTTGAGCGGTATTTATTACTTAAAGGTCTGAGATCTCCACCTCAACACACACGCACACACACACACACCCTTCCACATCTGAGACTTTTGAGATTGGGCAAAAGGGAGATGATTTAGGGATGCAGTTTAGGTTTTCCTGCAGGTTAAGGCTCATTCGAGTTGGATTTTTCCCATTGTTTAACTGCAGCATCTCCAAAGAAGCAACTTTGCAAACTGAGAAGAGGTGAAGTTTCTCCTGAAAGGAAACATTTTGCCCGAGAGGGGCTGGCAGCCGTCCCATGGCAGTTTTGTGAACAGCTCTGCGGTGACTTTGCCCTAGAATTCAGTTGCCTTTTTTCCTGCTTTTGACATGGCTGTTGACAAAAACCAACCTGCGCCTTGCCTTCTATCTCTCTCCCCCCCCCTTACCTCCGTGGCAAGAAGTTTCGGCCAGTCCGGTTTCAGGTAGTAGATCACCCCTCTCCAGGCCCCGGGCAAGGTGGCGCCCCGTATTAAGAGGATGAAGAGGATGACGTACGGGAAGGTGGCCGTCACCCACACAACCTGTTTGGAGAAGAAATCGAGAGAGGGTTTGCCGAAGATCTGAGGGAGGAAAACCACCCATGTGAAAGGACAGAATCTGGATTAGGAATGCTATTCGGCTCCGGATTAACAACAGTGTTCCGACGTATCAGAACCTGCAGATTTCCTCCAGTACCCATTCATAAGAAGAGGCTTATACTGTATATGAGCTTTTGGAGCGTGAGCACCGCCCAACGTTTGCAGTCTAGAAGCGGGCCTGTACATGTGCATTCTCCAGATGGGGATGGCTGGGACACTGGAAACTGTTACAAAGAGTTGGCGATGTGATTGTACTCGTATATTCATTCTCTTGAGCTCCGTTCACCTATATTATGCTGACCATCTTCCCCAGGGGACTGAAGCCAGGTGAGTCATGCACAGGAAGCAAAGTCTATTGAGTTTCATCAGTATGGGCTGAGATATAGAAAAATGGGCAGATGCATGGAATGGCCCAGCATAAGCCATAAGGAACCAAGTGATGTAAAGGTTGATGTGAGCCAGAGCTGGGGAAGATGATGTGTTGGAAATACCCAGTGGCTATTCTGACTGAGGCCCCTCTGGGAACTGTAGTCTAAATACACACAGTTTCCAAGTTAAAAGCCCTGCCTCACCACCACCAAAGTGAGTCGGTCACTCAAACTCCATGGGGTCTCGGCTCCTAAGGCATGGTAGTCCATGGCTTTTTGTTGCACCATGAGGAGGCCTGTGCTCTCTGGTGGGCTAAAGCAAGTGCTGCTGGCCTTCCCCCATCTCCTCCTTGGAAAAACCCTTCCGGCTGCAGCTCAGCATGGGAGTCAGCAATATAGGCAAAATTATGAGAAGCTATAACCTCAGTAATTTTAGAGAAGAAATGGAATGATGGGCTTCTGACAATAAATAAATAAGTAAATAAATAAGTAAATAAATAAGTAAATAAATAAATAAATAAGTAAAAATGGCCCCATCTGTGGTGTGAAGCCAGCGACTTCCAAGGATACGACGAACGAGTTTCTGGCGAGTGTTTAAAACATACTTTCTGAAAGCAAGATCATCCTTGTTTTGCATTTTGACCACACACACAAAAAAACACAGCGCTTTGCCTAAATTGCTCTTTCGAGCTCTTGGCCTTAACTCTTCACCTTTCCAGATGTCTTGACCCCTTTCCAGATGCTGAAGTACACAATGGTGAAGATAAACAGCAAGCAGAGGGTGAGCTGCCAGCTGATTCCACCCAGGTCATCCAGTCCTCTGGCTCGGTGCACTTGGAGAATGTGGCGGCTGAAATGGAAAGGAAGTGCGGATGGATCGGCTTGCTCAGTGTGTGAGGTCCTACAGCGATGACCGTTTCAGCCAAAACGGGGGGGGGAGGTTTGACAGGAGGGCATTCCCTTTAGAGCCCACCCATTGTGGAACTGCAGTAGGGGGAAGAGAGCCTGCAATCAAGCTAACAAGTCCCTCTCCATCATAGCTCTGGAACTATGAAGAATGGGGTCAGCCATGAGCACCCTTTTGCCCGTTCTTCCTTAGTGTTTGAAAGGTCTTGTGTGGAGGTCAGGAGCCTTTGGGTGTTTTAAAAACACGAGGGAAACAGAGGCACGTCGACCCTCCTTTCCCTCCTCCAGGTGTCCTTTTCCAACCCCGCCTTTCCTGGGGCGGCGGTCTCTCCACTTACATGCACTTACGTATAAAATTCTTCTGCTGGGGAGGTGGAGTTGGAGGTCCAGACGGTGCTCTGGTTGGAGAAGTAGTTGGTGCAGTTGTTGGTGTTCCAGGGGTTGGCGCAGCTGGTCCAGGGCAGCTCATCGGTGAAGGAGGAGACGAGGTAGTACAGGGCCCAGGCCATGATGGTGTTGTAGTAAGAGGCGATGTAGAACGCAATGATGCAGATGGCGTAGCCAATGCCTGGAAAAGACAGAGGAGAACGGGGGGAGGGGGGGAGAGAGACCAAGGTGAGGAAGACAGAAAACTAGAGGCTCTCCTGTCTTTGGTTGTCACCTGCACACTGTTTTAATTAAGCATTTGCTTCTAAACTTATATACAGTGGTGCCTCGCTAGACGATGATAATCTGTTCCACTGAAATCACTGTTTAGTGAAATCATCATCTAGCGAAAAGCATTTCCCCATTGGAATGCATTGAAACCTGATTAATGCATTCCAATTTGTCTCGCGAAGAACGGCCATAGGAAAGCCGCTTTGCAAACTGCCGATCAGCTGTTTAAATAGCTGTGTTGCGAAGCTTAGGTCCTGAAAACACCCATTTTGCGAGCACGGAGGGAGCTGTCAAAATCGTTGTCTAATGAAAATTGGTTTGTGAAGCAGGGACCAAACATTCTCCAGCAAAATTCCCCCATAGGAATCACTGTTTTGTGAATCGCTATAGCGATCGCAAAAAGTCAATGTCTAGCGAAAAAACTGTCATGCGGGGTAACTGTCTAGCGAGGCACCACTGTATATATATTCTTATATAATTTTTTTCTTTTATATATATATATTCATTCTTGTTTGCTGTCTTGTGTGGCATTATTGGCAGAATGGCAGGATATACAGTTAGTAAATAAGTAAATAGAGTGATTGCATCAGGGTTTCTAAGCTCACATGTCGTTTTCAGAACAATGAAGCATATGGTGCTGATTGTTTCTGTGCATATTTTGGGGTCTCTCTCTCTCTCTCTCTCTCTCTCTCTCTCTCATGGCAGGATATACAGTTAGTAAATAAGTAAATAGAGTGATTGCATCAGGGTTTCTAAGCTCACATGTCGTTTTCAGAACAATGAAGCATATGGTGCTGATTGTTTCTGTGCATATTTTGGGGTCTCTCTCTCTCTCTCTCTCTCTGTGTGTGTGTGTGTGTGTGTGTATGTGTGAATAAAGAGAGAGAGAGAGAGAGAGAACCTGGCAGCAAGTGTCACTGGAACCCAGTGGCCAAGCTTGCGGGATATAAAGACTTCCTTCTTGAATCGTCGAGTTCCTCTTACCTTTGAAGATGGGGCAGATTTTCCTCCATACGGAGATGCATCCATTTCGGTGATACTGTCCCAGCGCCAGCTCCATGTAGAAGAGAGGAATCCCCCCAAAGACAGCCATGATGGTGTAGGGGAGGAGGAAAGCCCCTGGGGGGGGGAAGAAGAAGAAGAAGAAGAAGAAGACCGACGTCAAACAACAACCAGACAGATGAACCGGAAGAGGGATGAGAGAAGAAGGGCAGAAGGTTGCCCAGGGCGGTGGTTGCTGGAAGCAGCCTGTGGCTGGGCAAGGATTCACTGGGTGATACTGGATGCATCTGTGCTTGCTCTCCCCCTGCTTGCACCCCCAGGAGTTGCTGTTCTGCAGTTAAAGTGGAATTAAAACAGCGTTTACGCACAACCCATAGCCCAACATTCTCCAGTGCTGTTTACTCACAAACAGATCTTGTTCTACAGAACTCAACGTTGGAGATGTATTCACTAGTTAGATCCATGCTGGGGTGGGTGTGTTGGTGGTTAATTTACTGTTTTCCTCCTCATCATCCTTATTCTTCATCATCATCATTATTCTTATTTGATAGGGGAGATGCCAAAATACGGCTGAGCAAAAAAAGGGCAAACCTCAAATCACCCGCCCTGCTTGCAGAGGCCAACCCTGGAGGATGCGTGATGCGCCAAATATTCCCACACAGTTGGTAGGCAGCAAAATTCTCAAAGAAGAGGAAAAAGAAAACACTCACGGAATTTATCTGAAATTTGTAATTATGAGAAATTTTGGCTCCATTAGTGAAACTCGTTAGTTCATACGCGTAGAGGAAAGAAGCAATGAGTTAAGTAAGAGAGGAGGGCTGGCACTGGGAGGGCTGCGTCCATGGCTTCCTTTGATAATATTCTACATAAAAATGAAATGCTAGCCTTCCACACACGCCCAGGTCTGGAGTGAGTCCTTCCCTGTTTTAAAAACGACAGTGAAAACTCACCTCCTCCATTTTGGTAGCAGATGTATGGAAAGCGCCAGACGTTGCCCAGGTCTACCGCATACCCAATGACAGAGAGGAGAAAGTCCACTTTCTTGCTCCAGGTCTCCCTCTCGCCCATCAGCTGTTGCTGAGTATCCACCACACACAAGATGGAGGTGGTGGTGGTGGTCATGGGTGCCGGAGTGGCGGAAGGGGTCCCCTCGCTGCCCCCGGTGGCCTGGCAAGGGCTTGGGCTCTGTGCCCCCGAAAACCCGTTGGAGATGGGGCTGGTTGCCCCTTTGTCCCCAGAACTGGGGCAGGCTTTATTCGTGTCCTCTGCCAGTTCCAACCTCGGCGTGGTGCTCTTGGCCAGGAGTCCGTTATCCGCGCAGTCACCCTCTTCTTTGCATTCCGAAGTCTCCCTTGGAAACGTGAGAGGTTGGGTCTCATGGTCGGGGCCTGACTTCTCCATCCCAGCCGTTTAAAAGGCAGCGCTCCTGTCCATTGGCAGGTAACGTCCCACTAGAAGCGCCGTCCAGCCGTAGATGCTTTCCCCAGGGTTTCCCAACAGCTCGGCTCTGGGTTCAAGCCGTCGGCTTCGAGAAAGAGGCAGCTTAAGAGTTTTCATGGTGGGAAGGAAATAAAGATTATTATTATTTCACCTGTGCGTGTGTGTGTGTGCGTGCGTGCGAGCCTTAAGAAACACAGGAGAGTGTGCCCCAGTCCCAGTGAGCTCACAGTCTCAGATGTGAGAATAGAGCAAGTGGAGAGAGAAAAAACCCATGTAGTTTGTGCCTCTCCTGGCAGTTCAATGGCTGGGGAGAGAGAGAGAGAGAGAGAGAACTGTTCCTTTGGTGTTGTAACCTTATATTTGCCTACTGAGATGTCAACATTTGCTTTCTATGGGACTTATCCACAGTTACCCATGTCTAGAATAACAGCCTTAGTGTGGGACTCACAACAAACTGCCTACACAGCCCTTCCTAGTCTGTGGACTTGACCTAGAACTATGGCTCCCAAGCTTGGGTCAGCCTGGTGTTCTTGGACTGCAATTCCCAGAAGGCTTCACTGCCAGCGGTGCTGGCTAGGGCTTCTGGGAGTTGCAGTCCAAGAACATCTAGGTTACCCAACGTTGGGTCCTGGTCCTTCATTCTGTCCAGTATGCCACACTGATTCTTTACAAATTGCTTACGAAAACTAATGTTAACAGTGACTTTACCCATTTCCATGGTATAATCCACATATCAAGGGAAAAGCAGTTCCCCCATTATTTTCCTACCATTTCAAATATACTGTCTGAATTAGAACAAATGTACTTCCCATTGCTGGAGGATTGCAGAAGTTGTATTGACTTGTCAGGCACAACTGCAGACGGTTCAGTAGCTGGAATGATAATGGGAAGTCAAAAGGATAACCATTCAGGCAGCTAGCATAAGCATGGTGTCCAGTCATGGTTGAAAGACATTCATGCAGAAGATGTGTGTACTGAGATGACGGTACCTTGTAAACAGACCCTGTCTAGGTGCATGAACAAGGAGGCCCTGGGTAAGAAGTCACGTTGACGGATCAAGGAACTCTTTGATCACCAGCATAATTACCTCATACGTAAAAATGGAAAACTTATCAGCAATATGGATCTCCTATCTGGATGGGGTGGAAATTCTTAATTAGATCATGAGAAAAGATCTAAATGGGATCGGACACTTTCCAAGACGTGCATTGATCTGATGGTGTATTGCCTACACTAGACTGAAATGTGCATTCTGCCTCTCATAAGATTATACCCAGTTGACCAGGTTGCTTGCTCACTGGAAGCCTGAACCTATGTGGACATTTCATGCGAAGTGGGTTTTCAGTACAGTTCAGACTGAGCCATCCCTTTGGCATAGACGAACCAGCCAGCAAAGAGGCTCAAAGATGAGAAGAGCGAACGGTTTTTGGCGTTGGTCAAGCTGTCGAAAAGTATCATCCAGAAGTTGGCTAGGGGTGTTTTGAGAACTGTAGCCCACCAGAGTAGCAAATCTAAGCTCTGATACTATCTTCCTCGGGATACAGATGAGATGGGTGAACACAGCAGGAGAAGGAGATAAGACGTCCAGATTTCCAAAGAATAAAAACAGAAACAAGGAAAAAAAAAGAGTAGATGCTTGAGTTGCAGTTGACTTGATGGCAAATAGATGGGCAAAACCACCACCATCATCATTTTCAATGAGACCTAGATGGTAACTCAGTTGCTCCACAGTAAAGCCTTCCCTGGTGGGACGTGGTGGCGCTCCAAAGCCTGTGGGCTGCAAGGTCGTAAGACCAGCAGTTCAAATCCACGCGAATTTGTCAAAGGGAACCTTTAGCCTTCCCTAATACAGCCAGAGATCTCCCACAGGGAATTTAGTGAGCCACCTTTGCAACGCGGACAGGTTGTTTGGATTTAAGATGCCCCAGAAGACAAGTTCTGCAGCTCCTGGCTTCTACGACCGCACATCCCAACAGAACCTCGGCATGTTTTTTCAGTGCCAAAAGAAAGATAACGCGCCATTACGGCAAAGCTAAGAAAGTGGAATTCAAAACCGACAGAAACATCTGATTGCGCCAAGCAGAAGGAAAGCAAGACTCTTTGGCTGAGAAGCCCTGAGGTCGACACAAGAAGAAGTTGGTCCTGGCTTGCTGTGCGCACCACGTACGGCAAAAGGCAGAAGACAAAGAGGTCTTTGTTATTTTATTTTTTTTTAAGACAAAGGTGTGTGAGTACTATGTGCCGATTTTGTGAGCGAAGTACCATGGCTCCAGCTTGGCACGAGATTTAATGACATCAGCAATATTCACAAGTTCAGTGGGACGTAAAAGCCACAGCACTCTTATCAGAACAGAAGGGCTGGCAAGGCAAACAACACCCTGACCATCCCCTGCTATAGGAGGCTGTGGGAAGAAAGGGCGAGCGGGCGGGCGGTGGGGGGGGGAAGCGTACCTGCTGAAATTCCAAAATTCCTGGGACACGGTGAAGACTCCACCACGCAGCCACGTGACACCCGCTTCCCCAAAGCAGAGGAGGTTAAAAATTTCATGCTACGCACAGGCTGTAATTGTCACGCTTCCGTTAATCATCAACTAGTTGATCTCTGAAGATGGGAATGAAAGAAATAGGGAGGAAGGGTGGGAGCCACACATACCACTTTCAGTTTCACCTGGAAAACCACAGGCTTGGACATCTTTGGAGGCCACCCATGGTTGATGGTCTCCCGATTCCACAGCTTAATTGAGGGCAATTCAATGCCATTGGGCATCCAGAGTGTTGAGCAGCCTCGGTGGACTTTACACCCTGACTCAGGCATGAGAGAAAGGTAAAGAATGACCCACCAATGGTAGGCAGAATTTTTTCCATTCTACTAAATTGGTTGTTGGAAGTAACCTGTTTCCAACTGTTCTTAAGACCACTCTGCGCTCCTGCTCTAAATCAGATCTCCTCCACATCTCTTCTTTAAACAAAAGGTACTGTAATGTATTTGGCATTTCTAATTGAGTTCTATAAGCGACTTCGTCTTTGCTGGTTTAATTTGTTGACACCCATCTGCTTATCCGTTTAGTAATTCTTTTTATACCTCACCTTTCCTCTGAATGAACACAAGGCTTTCTTCCCTCCCAAGAACCCTTTGAGGTTGGCCAGACGGAAAGAACATGAGGAAAGAACCAAAGGTCACCCAGGGAATATTGTGGCAAACTTGAATCTGGATCTCTCAAATCCCAGGACTGTAACCACATCTAACACCATGCTTAAAAGAGAAAAAAAAGTTGTGGAGTGTACAGAGGAGAAAGAACCACAAAGCTGTGATTGGCTGTTAGCTACAATTGCAAAAACAGAGCCTCCATATGCAGGAGACGTCCATTTTAGCCCAATAGAAGATGGTTCCTTCTCTTCCATGCCCAGCTAGCCACTATTGCACACAAAATCCTGGATTCTTTCCTTTCCTTTCCTTTCCTTTCCTTTTAATGTATCTCTAACCTTCTCTGTAGCAAGAAGGGCTCTCAGCTGCTTTGCATATCTGTGAAAATTTTAAACTTATCAAAAACCACCCAATATTTAATGGTTATACCTACCCCCTACCCCCCCAAAAAAATAACTGGGTTTAGCTATCTAAGTTTACTCATTCAGTATAGTACTAACACCCTGTAAGTCCATGGGTTCCCCCCCCCAACTAAAATGATTTATAATGCCTATTTCTATGCAACAGTCAGTGCTGTTAGCATTTTCAGTTAAGAGTTAATAAATCATGGCTTGTTGGCAGGGCATTGAATGGTGCATCGCAGCAAGCCAGATTTCAACAAACCATACTGTGGCTTGTTATGACATGTAAACATATCCTTTCCTTGGAAGAGGACAAAGACCTGTGTTCCAAATTGTCCTGGCCAATGGCATAAAGCGGTGCTTTGATCTTGAACCACAGAAAAGCCGGATTGCATAGATCTCTTTTTTAAAAAGAAGGTCGCACCAGGAGTTGGCAGCTGCTGTGAGGGTTTCGACAACTTGGAGTTCCTCTAAACCTTTTGGTCGGTGCCCTCCCTGTCAGGTTTTCCACTTTCTCCTTTTGCTTTATTTTACTTTATTTTATTTTGACATCCATCATTCACTGATCATCTGCCAATTTCAGTGAACAGCAGCGGGCATAACAGTTTATTGCTCTCTATCTGTTTCTGTCTTGAAATGCTGCAAAGGTCACCCTTCACGCAAACAATGGGAGAGGGAATCGCTGGCTCCTCTGAACCGCTGGAAGCATCAGTGGTGCTAATAAAAACCATACAACCTGGAAAGCTCGCTCGGTGCAGCTTAACCCCTGGAAGTGGCCCAGAGAGACACATCTGGACAATTCAGGCACATCTGTGCTTAGGCCACAACATGCTCGGGACAAAAAGGCACCGTCTCTGGAACAACGGAAACCTTATACCAAGTCCGGTCATCACTGCCCGGTCCAGCTTTTGCACATGGATGGCCAGCAATGTTGCAGGGTCTTTCTTAGTCTTAACCTGGAGGTGCAGAGAACTAGGAGCTAGGAATTCCTGCATATGACAAAGGTCCTTCAGCATGGAGCTATAGCAAAACAAGGCGCTAGTCCTCATGGCTGGAAATAAAGATTTATTTAAAAAATTAATGGAAATCTAGAAGCCTGCCTTATACCAAGGGATATAATTCTTAGTGTGGAAACTCTCTGTGCTCTAATTAGGCAAAAAGGAAAATTCTTTATATCTATGCACAGATAGCCCTCTGCTTTCATATTGGCTCTCGGTAACCAGGCAGAGAGCCCTCAAAGACAGGTTTCGTGGCTCTAAATTTTTTGCAGGATGGATTTTGCATGATACCACTAATTCCTCTAAAGAAGCCATTCCTGTCATGCTGGGCCTCTAGAAATTTGCAGACTCTTGAAATTGTCTTTGCAACCCTGAGGGATAGAAACTTGCTTCAAAAGCCGTGAAAACATGAGAGATGCCCTCACCCATTCTGAACCAATAGTCAATTTTTTCCCCTCCCTCATCTCCTCCCCCCTATTTACCCCGAGAAGGATGATTGTGATGCTTCCTTCCGTGGGCCTCAAGGCATTTTCATATGTGGGGATTTAAAACAGATTGCCCCTAAATCCATTTTAAGATGGATGTGAAACCTCTGTTGGAAAGTGAGACTATTTGTTCATTTTTTCTTCTGCTGTAGCAACATCAAGAGTGCATATAACAGGACAAGAAAAGCGTTTCCAAGTGAGTTTTGATTTTAAAAAAAAACTAGCACTGGATTAAGCACAAAGGGGACTTTTTGAAATCTTGCTCTGAGACAGTTTGCATCAGGGGCTGAATGATCCTTGCTGGTAGGCAGGCCAAACCCAGAGGTGTTTTTTTTTGTTTTTTTTTTTAAGCTCTGGCATTGACTCAGGAACCCTCCTGACTCAGAATCTTATCTGGACCGCATGAGGATTATCTAAGGGTGTGCTTCATTCAGGTTTGAGTGGGGATTACTCCGGGTGATTTATTTGCAAAAGGAAACTTTGACGGTGTGAACAGAAGCAGGCCCAGTGCATTTCACAGACGGCAAAGGGGCCACTGAGTCCTCGCTCTCAAAGCTCCGTTTCCCACACCCTCAGCCCCCCCAGGGACCCCCGGGTAGCCAAAGACGAGGTCTTCACTGAAGGATCGTTTAGACATTTCCCCCAGCGTGCCATCCACCAGGAAAGGAACCGTTGGTTTTCCGGCACCGGGAAATCAAGAACATCTCCATAAGGGGCAATTTGGTCTCCATGTTCCATCTTGGAGGGTGCAGGTCTGTTGTTTTACCCTCCTGTGGATTTATTGAGTTGCGTTGTGTGTTTGCTGTCGGTCGTGGTATGCCTATACTAGGGGCCACGGTGATTCTGCCTGAAGACTAGAACTTGCCTTTTGCTACCCCAGGCAAAAGAGGCCCACCCTTTTCCTTTCTGCCTACAGAGACCGGTAAGGTGGGCTACGTTGAAATCTTCTGTGACACTGGCCTTGGGAAAGGATCCCCCTAATAAACCAGTTTGGGGGATAGCCGAGGGAGGCACAGCCCTCTGTACCCCAGATGGGGAAGGGCCGGCCCTGACATGAGGCAAGACCTTGTGCTGCCCCCAAAATCCCTGGAGCAGCACCCCCTGCCGTCCCCATAGCATTGGCCGCCTAAGGCCTCTGCTTCACTGTTTCTCATGGCAGGGGAGCCCTCCTCCACATCTATGTGTTCCGGGCAGCTCCTTGATTGCTGGGCGATCCATATTCCTTTAGCAGGCCTGGCTGCTAGTGAGAGTTTCAGGATGTATTTAGCAGGGGGAAGATGGGCTCACTCCATGGCAGAGATGTCCCCATTTTTAAGACCCCGAGGATGGGCTCAGACAAATACCCCATCTTCCTTCGGCTTCCCCGCCCTCCCAATCCCAAACCAGAGGGGTAGCGCTCGTACTGACATTCCAAATCTTTCAGTGCCCCGTAAATGCTCTTCTTATCTTCCCCGACGCTGTGCATCTCTGCCACGCTGAGTCTAGAGCCTCTGCTTCCTTCACTTCTGCAAAGTCTAACCTCACCTGTCTTTTCCTTGACCATGGAAGGTCTCACCTGTGTGCCTGGTTTCCTGCTCCGTTCTTGTGCATCACTTCTGCTGCTCTCCCATTTCCCCACATTTCAAAGCAGCAGGAGAGCGAGGCTCTTTCGCTCTTGTATCAAAAGGCAGCTGTGTGTTCTGAGCTTGTTTTTAAACACGCGGTGGGTCAAATTTATCGCTTCCCAGTCAGAACAAAAAAACACCAAAGGTCTTCTTCAGAATGCTTCTCCGCTTAGACAGCAAGCTGTAGAGAGCCAGGAGTCAGCTACAACAGCGCAGCCCTGCCGCTTCCCACAATGATGCTTCCTACATGAGCCCCTGTTTATTGTTATTACTATTGGCATTTTGTGATTGTCTGTATTTTTCTTTCGGCAATTATTTATGATGGACAGCATTCTTGGAAATCCCAGACTGCCATTGAGGCAGAGAACCGTTTTGGCTATTTCTCATATGCAAGCCGAGCCCAGCGTGGTGGAGACGGGCTCCGGACGGGGACCTGCCATTCCCTCTTAGCAAAAAAACAAACAGACCTCATGAGTTTGGAGCCCATGTCGGGAAAATGGGCTGTTTGCAGAAACGGCACCGAGCACGTTGGCTGGCTGAGGAAATAGCTGAGGCATTTTCTCCCCAGGAGGTCAGGGAGCACGATGTTCTTTTCCTCGGCATTTTAGGGCTCCTCTTGGTGAAAAAAAAGAGGACATGCTTACTAGCACAGCCAGGAAATGTTCCCTTTTATTGCATTTATTTTTTATTTTTTGGATAACGGCTCCCAGAACCACTGTTTCCGAACACTGTCATTTAAAAAAATCTACCTTCCCAGCTCCGCCTATGAGAAGACTGAATAGTTACCACCTTTCCTTGTCTATCTTGTGCTGGATCCCTTCTCAAATAAGGCATTTTGGGGGTGGAGGGGAAGCGGAAGGAGCATTTCCAATAAAACTGAAAAGTCCAACCCTCGTAAATCTTCGTTTCCTAGCCTGGCACCTCTTGCAGGTGCTAGGGAAAAATCTCCCTAACTAGCGTGTATCTCAAGTGGCCGGTAGCAGATGGTTACCGAACAAGCAGGTTCAGCTTGGAGAAGGTATTGTCTGAAAAAGCAGATTTTCCCAAGCCGGAGTCCCACAAAGCTGTCAACAAGCCAAGTCACATTCGGTCTCTTTCCACCTCCTCGGGAGTCATCTCAAGTCCTGTCCGCCTGCCCTTTGTTACATAACAGTGGGTTCTCTGTACAGTATTAAACATAGCTGGTCATTTCTTTCCTTCTGGATGCTGCTTTTTTTAAACAACGTTTCCTGTTTACTTTGATATCTTTTAAAAACAATTGTACCTGGCAGTTGAGGAGAAGAGGTGTTCTGCTTTCGCATCCCGCTGGCCTGAGACTCGTTATCAGTCAGCGAGGCCTAAAAGGTTGGAGCAATGGGACGGGCAATTTGGCAGGTCCGTGGTTGAAGCCCTGCTGGAAGTGGAAGTCCACTGGGTGACTTCTGTTTCTCTGCCTCCCAGCCTGACCGGTTTTCCTAAAGGTTTCCAAGGTTAAAGGGGCTAGGGGAGACTGAGCCGCTTCGTACTTATGGAAGGGACGACAGGGTATAAATGCAAGCGGCAAATAGGTAAATGCAATAAGCCAGGTGAGCGCAATCAAAGTTTAACCCAAGATTCAGCCACACCCTCTCGAACAATCTTCATACTTTACTTGAGCAGGAGATTGAACCCTAAAAGAACCCCAGTTTTGACAATTCTGAGCCGCCCTCTCCGCGCAGTGGGATAAACCATGCTTCTACTACGTTCTGTCGGTAGATGAAGCTGCTGGTATGTGAGAAAGCACGAGAGGACATGTCAAGCCCCGGTAACCTACACTTTGGATGCCAACAAGACGACTGCCTCTATCTTGTGCTACTGTTTTAGTCAAACAAAATGCAAAGGATCTGTGGACGTTTTGCTAAAGGAAATAAACAGGCGGATCAGCTTTCGGCGGGTCCTGCCCACACTAGGATCACAACACCCGATGGGCTCTTGTATCCCGTCTTACTCAATGATTTCCAAGGCGAGACTTCTTAGAATTGAGCCAATACCGTCAAGAGGTTATTGAGCTATTCTGTCAAAGACCTGCATTCAGGAAGTGTCTTTCTGAATTTAGCCTACCTGGTTTCAGAGCCATGAAAACGAGGCCAAATCAAAAGCCACGGGATAGGTTTATTTCTTGATTACCGGCTACCCAGAGAATGGGTTATAGGTAGTAGTAAATTACTCTGTTGCTATAGTTCCTGTTCTGCCACAATCTAAAGTTTAGGAACTTTGGAGGACAGGAATCGTATCTTATCTCTGTTTCCCCCTTAAGTCATAAAGTACCAGATAGCACTGGGGTTCAATAAGGAATAATCATCCAAAATTCATTCTCTCTCCCTCTCTCTCTCTCACTCACTCATATAAATCCTTAATTTTGCTGTTCAAAGTTATGTCCGACCATTATTAATTTCACTACCTGTTGCACAATTCAGAAATACGAACGCCTCGTGTTATAGTTTCACTTCTGTCTTCATCCTAATAAATACCAGTCATTCGTTCAAGTTATGACTCATAGCCGGAGAGGAAGAGAAGACCTTTTCTCTTGGGGGGGGGACAGAAAAATTCACTCTCACCTTCTTCAGGTGAAAAGAATCATTGGGAAACATACAAAAATAAGCTGCGTGCGGACTGCATTTCCCCCCTCCGCTCTAACAGCCTCAAAGAAGGGGAAAGGGTTCCGTTTATAGGAACTGCTTCTTACTTTTAAAGGCTTTGTTTTTCCACTTCTTTCAAAGAAAGTGCTTTCCGATCATGTTCAGCCGAGTAAAATGGTGACAGTCTCTTGCTGAATATTGTTGAAACATGCACTACCCTGCTTACCGTCTCTCATCAGCCCTGATAATAAAGGCGGCAAGCATGTAGAGGCAGAGACTAAAAGAAAAAGCAGAGTCGGGAACCTCCTCTTTAACCATTCAAAGAAAACTTTTTTTGCTGAAAAAAAGGCACGTTTTGTCCCCATTCTGCAGCGTTTTGAGCGAAGGTCTGTCTTCTGCCTTTCACAAAAGTTTGTGCGGGACCCCAACGGGAGCCCTCTTTCATTGCAGCAACCTTTTAAAAGCTTCTTGCGCAAATAGATCTTATATATACAGAGAGAGAGAGAGAGAGAGTGACGCTGTGTTACTCGGGCTGTCTTGAGATTTTGTAATCAGGGTTATGAAAGGTGAGATTTTAAAAAAAAATCAACAACCAAACATTGGTGCTTTTCCTGAAAAGCCTTTCTCAATATCCATCTTCTGCTCATCCCTTCTGGCATCTATCTAAAAGTCGGGGGGGGGAACAGGAGGAGGAGGAGGAGATGGAATAAATAAATTAAACGAGTACCTGATGTTGTGATGGTCTCCGAGGGACCCGGCTTCATCCAGGGCTCTCCCGCTGCAGCCCTACATTGGCTTGGCAGACTTTGGGCCGCCCATCAGAAGAGGGGGACCTTTTTGTACACCCTTCTCACATGGTCCGATTTCCCAGATAATCTGCTGCCAAAGAGCTCTTTAAGATTTTTTTACGTCACTTTCTTTCTTCTCTCTCTCTCTTTTTAAAAAAATAAAGTCAAATAAACTTTATGCCTTGCCAGTAAGTGCTGCGGCGGCAACAGCAGCAGCAGCAGCAGCTCTGACTCTCCTCCGCGAGGTGGGCGCCTACATTGAGCGGCCACCAGCACCCGCCAGAGCTCTCAGGAGCTCAAGAGAGGAGGGGAGGCTTAGGGCTGGCAGGATGAGGCTCTCGGGCGGGAGGCGGTGGGCGGGTGGATGAGGGTCAGTTGAGCAGCCAAACCAGCTGCCCCTGAGACCCGGGAACGCTTGGGTTGTGCTATAAATGGAAAGAGGAAGGGCATGGAGGGACAGAGACAGGGTTAAGTCGGGTGGGAGGGTAAAGGGGCCAGGTATGGGGAGGTGGGCGCTCCTTTGCAAAACCGGAGAAAGGCAGGGAAGAGCCTGCACTCTTCCCTCCCTCCCCCCCCCATCATTTATCATTTGCTTTAAGGAAGAAAGGGAAGGAATGGAGCAGAAATGGGGGGAAATAACAAGGGAGGAGGAGGGAAAAGAAGGTTGGTTTTATTATCGGACTCCTTGCAGAAAAGTATTCCCGGACTTGGCTGCTTCTGATCACCACAAAACTTCCTCTCCTCTCCTCTCCACACACCCCCACCCCGTGTGCCTCCTTCCTAGGCAAAGCACAAGAAAAAAAAGGGAGAAGCGACTCCTATTCACAACTCCTCCTTCCACACAAGCTTCCCACCCGTCTTAGGAAGGGGACAGTGAAGCAAAATACAAGGCCTCTGGGGTGCAGGCGAGAAAGGAAATGAAATAAAAGGGAGCAGGAGACAAGGGTGATGGGTGGAAAGGATCTTTCTTTGTCATTTGAGACGAGGGAGTGTGATTGCATACAATGTTGGGCAAAGAGTCAGCCAGCATCTGATGGAACTTTCAGAGCTTTTAGAAGAAGCTTTGTCGCACCGGGCTGGATGAGTGGTGGACACCGCACTCTTCAGGAAATACACTCCTTTCCCTGCAACAATGCTAAGATTTGAGCAAGCTTTGTTATCACGCCAGGTTCGGCCATCACCCACTAGAATCCTCCTGCATGCCCTGAAGCCAGCCTTGCTGGGAGATGATGGGAGTTGCGGCCACTCCCATCCAGATGGCAAAGGTCGCTCCAGATGATATTTTCCTTCCCAAATGAAAAAAAAAAAGTAGGCTAAAGGAACGAAGGAGTGACCTGGAAAAGTTGAACACTACTCGATAAAAGTAAAGAAGGAAAGGGAAAGGCATCAGTCCTCTCCACCCACCCAGAAGGATGACAAGCCAGAAGGAAGGAAACTTTTTGAAGACCAACAGCTGCAGCCCCGAGAAAGTCATGAAAACAGAAAATATCTGCCTGAAGCATCCCAGCCTCTGGTGCTCTCGTACCTGTCCTCCTTCATGCAGCCTCAGGCTCCCTTTTGTGAAGATGAGGAGCACTGCTGCCATCTGAAGGCTAGCCGTGGTACTACAGCTCATGGAACTCGACTGCATTTCTTTCGGTCCTGACCTGAGCTCAAGGCGGCTTCTACGACTCTCCCACCTCCCCGTTTTTATCCTCAGAACAGCTGTCCCGTGAGACTGGCCAAAAGAGGGATTACTTCAAGAGTGCTCCACAAGTTTCATGGCTCAGTGGGAGGCTAGATCTCCTGAGTTCTGCACCAGTCCCCTGACCACTGCACCGTAGTGATAGTGACGTAGATGGAGAGGTGCGGGTTATCTACTTTTCTGTCTCTCTGCCTTTCTGCAGATACGTCACTCAAGGCAAGCAACCGTAATAAAAGTAAAAGAAAAACAGATCAAAATGAAGAGAGGGGAAAAAACCACCAGAAACAAATTTAAAACTCAGCAATGAAAAAAAAGAAAACAAGTGTTCAGACGGCTTAAAGCCTTCCCATGGGAAGTTTGGCTTAAATGTCAGTGACTTGTCTGCATAAAATATGGCTTTGTCCACTGTTTGAAGGACACTGGGAAGGGGGCCAGCCTAGCTGGAGGAGCTGCTTTATACCTCACCGGCAATCTTAATGTTTTATGGATTCTGCCTTTTCCTTTGGAGGACACAGAGCGCGCGCACACTCACACAGAAAGGACACCGGCAGATCTTTGTGGAAAAAAAACGGGGTGGGAGAGAAGGAAGTCCAAGAACAATAAGGCACAGAGATAACTTTCGAGGAAAGACAAATAACATTGGGTCAAAGTGGGCATCCTTGTGACGTGGGGGCTTCGGTGGGTGTGGCTGGGTTCTCGCCAAGCCCCGAATCTGGCCAGAGTTACTCCCAGAGTCCCTCAAGCCAACAAGGGTGTTGCAGGAGTGGTAGCCTCAAAAAGGAAGTTGGGCAAGCCATGGCTTTTGTGGCTGTTGTTTAAAGATGCACAAACCCCTTCACATACCTCATTCAAAGTTCCATGCAGGTGCGTTTCCTCTTGAGCCAAACAGTGCTTGCATCATCACCCCAAGTCTCTTGAGGGGGCTGAGTGTTACCGTCCCACCCACGGCCTTTGACCGCAGCAAGACTTCTTTCCTCCTGGGGGTGGCAATCCACCCCACTGCCTTCCAACATTTGTTTCTGATTTTGCACAGCCTTGCTCAAGTTTGCTGCTGTTTAGCTCAGAAACATGTCAGCTGTCAAAGTGAGTTGTGATGACTTTCGTTTGTGAAGCAAACAGACTATAGCAAACACTGACTAGGCTGCAAACAGACTTTGATGGGAGATTGGCCGTGTTTGTGTTTTTGTGTGTGTCTCTGCCTGTGTGTGTCTCTGTACTAGATAGTACAGAGCTGTTCTTTAGCTTTGAGGATTTTAAACTATTGTTTTCTTATGCTTACTCTATTTTTCCCTCTTTAATTTGTGGTCCCCCACTGCCACCCATGATGGATTATGTTTTCTTCTATTCTTTGCCAGTAGCCCTTCTGGTTGCCACCAACAGACGCAGCTCGTCCAACTACCTCTGACGGCCTGTGTTTCGCCCTCTCCAATCTAAGGCCAGCATGGCCCGCATAGACGCACAGCTGCTCCCTCCAGGTTTCTGGCAAGGGGGGGGGCATTAAGAGATTTCTAGCCAAAATCCTGTTGCTCAGATCCACCTGGCCACAGAAATGACATCACAGTCAGACAGCTGTTGATTAAAGACTTCTTTTTTCCCCTGTTTCAGGGTGTGCACAGTTTCCATGCCATAAGGAGAAGTTGCGTACACCCCAAAACTGAAAATGGAAGTCTTTAATCAACAGCAATCTGCCACTGATGATGGCATCCTTCCTGTTGAACCTGCCTGAAATCAGATCAGATCAAAGGGCTCCTCTAGTCTAGCATCCTGTTCGCCCGTTGGCCGGCCAGATGCCTGAGCGACTGGCCTGCTGGCAGGAGAGGGAGTGTGCCCGCAATTCCCCATCACTTCTGGACAGCTGAATGACGAAAGCTAGGAGCCTTCCCTTGGCAAACTGGACAGCCTCTAGGCTCAGGGGATCGTGTTTCCCAAGCCCGCCCGCCATCTTGTTGAGACTGATCCATCACAGGACATCCAGAGTTGTTATATTCAGCTGGTTGTATTTATTCAAACGCTCCATAGCACCACATAGTTCTCAACAGCATTTAAAGAAAATGCAGTTATTGGATTTTTTTGCTTTTTTTTTTCCTTTAAAAAAAACATGTTTCACTGCGGAACTGGACATTCTTCAATGTATCTCGCAAAGCCATTTAAAAGCCTCATTCTGAGGTGGTGATAAACGAGATCCTGCGGTTTAAGTTCCTGCGTACAGCATTTCAAGGCGAAAGACTATTCAGATCATTCCTCAGATGGAAAAAATGAAAGACAAAGACAGACGGAAGGTCCTGGCTAGAAACAAGACAGCAGCAATACCCTGAAGGTTATCCCTCTCCCCCCCCCCCAAGGAAAAGCTCTCCCAGCTGCATCAAGCAGTTAACCTCAGAGTGGATGGCACAGACTCGATTCTCATGGTCTTGTTTCTATCTCACCCCATCCACGGCCGTCTTTTCTACACAACATTTGCACAAAAGAAGGACCTTTGAAGGATTTTAAAATAAGTGCAGTAATAAAAGAAGGTAAAGGATATTTAAAAAAGAAGAAGAAAGGCTCACACCGGAATGGAAAAGCACACACATCAATGCAGGGTTGCCGAATAGCTTCACCCAGAGAGAAAGAAGAAAGAAGCTCTCCTTCCTCCAGAGACCCACAACATAATCACTCCTGCAAATACGGGCACCTCGAGCTGGGGAGTCAGGCGTGGGGCCACTGGGCTTCAGCTCCTGGCCCTCCCTGTCCTCCCCAGTGCTTACGTCAAGGTTGACCAGAAGGAGGTGGGGATGGGTCCCCCTTTCCCCCTCAACATTAAAGAAAGAGAGTTCATTTAGCCAGAGCGCCCATGGGGTCCCACGCAGGCAGGACCACCGGCTCTTGCTCCATCACTGCCAGGACATCCTCGGGCACGTGCTTCTTGTCCACCACCACTTCGTAGACGTACTCGGAAAACCAGTCGTCCGTCATGATGAGGTAACCTGGAAAGAGAGTTGGTTAAACTCGGTGGGCCCACCAACGCAGTCTAGCTGGAGTGCAAGACTTTCAAAACGAGGAGCGAGAATTCACTCCCTCCTTGTTCTCCTAGAAACAGGATGGCTCCTGTCTCCCCTGCCCGGCTTCCCATGGAACATCTGCCCGTGACTTCTTGAGGACAGGACAGGACACAGTCACTCTTAGACACCCTGCTACCAACGGGGGCCACTTATGACTTCTTGAGGACAGGACACAGTCACTCTAGACACCCTGCTACCAACGGGGGCCACTTATCCTACTCCTCTGTCTCCTTGGGTGCATCCACTCTTGTGTTTTCCAGGTACACCACCCATCCAGTTTCTGCCGGCAGGGTGTGATTACAGTTTTCTAGTCCTCATGGAATGCTTGAGGGCCCAGTGTGGTGTAATGGACAGAGCTCCGGACCAAGGCTCCAGAGACACACGGGTTCTGCTGCCCGCTGAACTCTGGGGTCTTGGCAGAGTGGGAGCAGCAGTGAAGCCGCTCACTCCTTGGACATTTCTCTTTGAAACCCTGATTCGGATTGCTATAAGCCGGAGGCAGCTTTGACAGCACATGGCAAGGAAATGGGATCCTTATTTTCGCCAGTGTTCATTTCCCCAAGGATACGACTACAGTTTCTTACGACTTTCAGAATGATGGTGATAAACAATAAAGCTAATAGCCAAGTGCCTGCAATGATATAAATGGTGGAAGAAAGCAGCCTTTTCACGGGTTCTTGGACAAAAGGACATAAGACACGAGAGACTGACACAAGACAGTGGGACATAAGACACGAGAGACTGAGGCCCCTTGTCTTAGCAGATGTTGATCGGAAGAGCATTGACAGCTCAGACAACTTCCAACCCCTTGATCTTTGAGCTGGTCTGCCACGTGAGCTCATGAAAACTATGGCGCAAATACTGTCCTTGGTTGGTTTTGGGTGCCTAGCGTGATTCTGGTAACTGCTTGTTCAGCTGATGTCTTACAAGGGGGGGGGGAACCCTTCTCTTGCTTCTCTAAAAAGCTGGGTGCCTTTTTAAGACAGCTCCCTGAGCCGGACCATCACACTCCTTCCTTGTATTGAATGCATTTGCGGCTTCTTACTGGGGTGCCAACGGTGCTGGCAGGTTTGCAGTGGGATGGAGGTTGGGGAGGTGGATGATTCAAGCTCAGCCTTCTTCCCTGCTCAGGTTCCTCCTCTTCCTCCTCCATTTCTTCGCAGAAGGATTCTCCCTTTCCAAAGAGCCCACCAAGAAGAGGACCAAGTTTCATTGGGAGAGGGGGAAATTAACTGGGGGGGAGAGAATGAAAGAGCTTCCTAAAAACATTTTTGGTGACCCCCCCAGCCTTTGAGGAAATTCCTGAATAGCTGAGGGCACATCCATCTCGCTTCCTACTGTGAAGACAAGAGAATGCAAACGCAGGAGAGGCAAGAGTGGGCCCAGAACGTGGGGGTGTGTGTGTCAAAGGGCTGCCTGGCAGAGCCTCCGAGAGGTGGCCGGGAGGTGGGAAAGCACCAAGAAAACCCAGCCGGACCCGTCGGTGTGAAAGGGGAAGCGTTTCCTCCATCGCTCATCATCGGGCCCTCCGAAACAGCCCTCCGGGTCTAATCTCCGTGGGATGGTGTTGTTTCAGGCCATCCTCTCTCAAATCCTCTTTGGAGAGCTGGAGCTGGGCTTGTTATTTCAGTCCCTCCAGCCTCCTTGCCAACCCCTGGTTCCAAACCCAACATCCTCCTCCTCCCCCCTCTTCCTGAAACAAGGGGGCTGCCAGACCCGCTGGCCTGCCCTCCCTACAAAACACCCATGCCAAGAGCTGCCTGGACGATCTGATGCCCCCCCCCGAGGCCGAGGCGCCCAGCCGTCAGCGTTCACCGGGTTACAGCTAAGGGTTACCAAAGGATCCTGGCTCACAAATGTTTCCTGCCGGGAGGAGGGCTCCAGGAGACAGAGGAAGAAGGAGCTGGGGTTCTCTGAAGCCCAACATGTCGAACCAGGAAGTCCCCGAGACACTGAAAGAGAGACTTGGGCAAGGTGGAGCCAAAGCAACATTCTGTTCAGCTCACACAGCTGTGGTGCAGGAATTCTGATGGCCCCTGGCCCGCACTACAGGACTGTTTGGGAGGCTCCCTGACATGAGTTCCAATTCTGGGCTCAGAATTGAGAGCCTCGCCTCATTTGCAACACCCTTAACAAAACACCAAAACCTGCTGTGTAAATCAGCGGTGTTGTTGTCACTGGGGGCCACCCTGGGCAGGCTTCAACACAGGAATTGGAGGCCTGGGGAGAGCCCCACCGCCATCCGTTTCCCCTGACCCCCCCTCCCCCGGTAGGAGTGCCAGCTACCACGCAGGAGAAACTACCAGCCGTATGGCCTTTCTGCCTGGTTGGTAAGTGGTAGAAGGGAGTACAGGGAAGAAAGGTTTGTCGGGAGCAGACCTGCAAGAGACCAGGGAGAAGAAAAGAGGAAGGGGGATCTGGCCGGCCCAAGGCAACACCATGGCACTAGGAAAGCGGCCTCCTCTCCCGTTCAGGACCCACAAGCGAACCCTCGGGGAAAGAGCAGGCCTTAAGGCTGAACAAACTGCAGTGGAGCTCAAAAAACTCAGACCGTGTCTGGCTGCCCCCAAGCAGGCTGGAAGAGGTCAACTCGGAGGCCTGCCTGTCATCATCACGTGGGCAGCTTGTGCCTTGTTATTGTCAAAAACCCTTGAAAGCCTGATGTGGTGATTAAGAGCAGGGGTGGGGTGGGGGTGGGAGCAAAGGCTTTTAATTTTTGGTCTACGTGCGCTTTGACGGCCAGAGTGACTTGGGATTTTAGAGCGCTCATAAAACCGATGGGTAAACGAACGGCTAAAAATAGGGGAGTGTGTTGACCTCGACTTAGATGTGTGCGTGTGTGTGCACGGCGGGTTAGGGAGAAGCCCACCTGGGCGCCCGGCTCATTCATGCAATTTTGGCTGGCGCTGCCCTTGTTGTCCTGGGAAGAGCATCCAGTTGTTATGAAAACAGAAACGCCTCCTCTCGGAGATACTCTGTATGCAGACGTGTCTCTCTCTCTCTCTCTTTCTGGAAGGCCGGGATGAAACCCATCAGATCAAAAGCTGGAATTTTTAGACACCTCATTGCCCAAAGGGTTTCGGTGACTCTGAGAAACAGGACTTGCTTTTACACCCTAGGATCAAATCATACAAATGTGACATCTGCCCTAAACACTGGCCAGTGCTCGGCCCAATCTGAGCCCTCTTCCTAAGCAACCTCGGGAGAGAGGAAGCCCAGCCGTCTCCAGAACTGGCAGGCCTTGCGGTTCAAAAAGGGAGCGTCAAGGGAGCGCCCTTGATGCACGTGGGGGTGATCTGTGTGTGTGTGTGTGTGTGTGCCAGTAAGTGTGGAGAGGATGACACAGGGCAGGCAAGGCTTTGGGAAACACGACCTCAGTTTATTAGCAGTGTCATCACTTAATCAAAGCGGAGGTTTGCAGATCTGCGCTTTGGGCCTCGATCTTCCAGAGCGCTCCCTGGGTGACTTAGCTTTGGAAACCTGTGGGAGACTTTGTTGTTCAATTTGGTTTTTGGGATTAAGATTCTGGAGGTGCTGCACTTGGGCCGCCATCGCTGTCCCACATCAAGTCAGGCCGCCGTCCCTCTAACTTAGTCCTGTCTACGTCGAGGGGAGGAAGAAGGCCTGCGGGCTGCTGTGGGTTCTTGGGACTCTAGAGCCAGCATCCGTTCCAGCTTAAGGCAGCCAGTCACCCAGGACGGAAGGAGATGCCCTTGCCTATTCTGGAGGACCATCGGCTCCCCTTCCCTCTGCCAGACGGATCGGCATCCTCTTTGCTGATGGAGCCGAGATGCTGCAGTTCTAACGCAAGCAGCTGCTAGAGAGCACCCATTTCTCCTGCCTTCCCTCTCTTCGGTTCTGGAGGAGAGCAACAACGAACCGCCACCCCTCCCAAGAACGGTTTCCAAAAAAGGCTAATGAACTTATCCACACAAAATGCGATTACATCAGGATCGTAAGGAATGCAGCCCAATTAATGCATCGGCGCACAGGCTACTTTCGGCTCCCTCTCAGCCTCAAAACCCAACCCAGGAATTCTCTAATCTCTGCCCTCAACAAAGGGACGTGGTGTAGAGAGAGACACGCCAGAGAAACGGCTCTCCGCAAGCCTTTCACTTAGGTGGCAGACTGGGGGCAAGGGGAGCAAAGCCCCCCCCAGATGTGGAGGCACCCCTGGGAAGAAAGGCACGGTCGCTGTGTGACAAGCATTTCAGAAAGGTGGTCACTGTAAGGAAAAAAGCGTGGAGGAACCGTTGCTCCTCTCAGATAATCCCCCTGCATTACCTTTATTCCCACGGTCTTCGCCCCACGAGTTTTCCACACGCCATTTTTCAAAGGCGTCGCCTTTGTCTTCCTAGGGGGGAGAAAAAAACAAACAAACACAGGTACAGTGAGAGAAAGCTCCCCCTTTTATTAGCACCCTTCTGAACTCCTCGGTTACAAGTCCTTCTGTCCTAAAAGGCATGAGACGCCCTTCCCGCTTCTTTCGTGGGCACTTAGGAAGGGCCAGATGGGCACCACATTGAAGCCAAAGGTAGCAGCTGGTTCCTTCCTTCGAGTCCTCCTTTGGGCGCTCCCACCTAAAGCTTACTCTCCTGCCCGCCATGAAAAAAAAGGTTAATTTTGCAAGCCACTGGCAAGTTCCCTTTAGCACAAAAGCGACCACATGAGATTCCGTGACCGGCTTGGGAAAGGAGTGATGGAAAGAATGGATGGAGGTTCCAACCCAGGTAGAGCTGGGAAGGGCCTCCTCCTCCTCCTCCCCCTCCGAAACCCCACTGAGCCATTTTTGCCAATCAACGGGGGGTTGTGGGGGGGGGCAGTGAGGATCCAAACGGAACAGGGGCCTAAGTCAGCAAGAGACACTTCACAAAGTCCTAATGAAACGTAAAGCTTGGAACGCGCACCCACTCAGTGGGCCTGGAACGAGGCCGGAAAGAATAGCATTTCCAGCTAAATGGGCTTGTGGAGACAATGGGTGTGATGCACCCAACCCCCTGCTTCCGTCTGCCCGGCACCCTGTCTGGGTTTGAAATCCGCAAGACCTAACTTGGAGGTAACAACATGAATAATCACCTTAGAACTGCAAAGCTGGAAGGGGCGTCCATTGGATTATTGAGCCCAGCCCTTGTCAAGAAGGCACCGTGGGGGAGTCAAACCCACCACCTCCGGCTCCCCCAGCCAGAGACCTAAACCACCGAGCGACCCATCTATTCACAATGTCATCAGCCAGGAGCCTGTCACATTTCAGCTGACTGCTCTGGCTAACATGAGCCCTTTCTACAGAGGTTCAGCCTCAAGGGGTGCCTGGGTCGACCTCAAGCCAGCTGGGGACGGGCGGCGAGGTGGAATCCCGCAAGGCTTGACTGGGATTCCGTTTCCACCTCTCCAAATGGATCCAATGACATCTGACTTTGTTTCAGTGTCAACAAAGATTAAATGTCCCGGTGGGAGAAAAGAAAATTAAATCACAGCGGAAGTCAAAAACTGCGCGACTGATATTAAAAAAAAAAAAAAAAAAAAAAAAATGCGACTGATATTAAAAAACAAACAAAAAAAAACCAGCCGCCACTGTGTAATACCTGTCTTTAGGTTTAAAGGAGCTTTCAGCAGACCTTGTCAAATCTGTCCCGATGGCTAAAACATGCAGACATTAAGGTTTTTCAATCTCTGCTTAACTTTTGAGGCCAAAGAACCCTTTCCCAAATGTTGGGGTGTCTACCGCTGGCAAAAGAGAGCAAAATGGAGAGGGCTGCATACGATTCGGAATTCCCTCTAGAAAGGATGCTAGCTTTTTTTTAAAAGGCAAATTCATGGAGCAGAAAGGGGCTCTCTGTGAGAGCAAAGAGTGCTACTAGCTTCAGGACCTGAAAGAGTAAATCAGGGAATAAGCCTGGGGGGAGCTGGGACGTGGCTCATCTCCAGTTTGAGAGCTTCACTCTGGAGCACCCAGCGGCCCACTGGAGAAACAGGTTGTACTTCTATCTATCTATCTATCTATCTATCTATCTATCTATCTATCTATCTATCTATCTATCTATCTATCTATCTATCTATCTATCTATCTATCTATCTATCTATCTTCTACTCTGCTTTGCTCCTGTATGGGGGCACGAGGCGGCTTACAAAGGTTGGACTCGAGAGGCCTCCTTTGGCCTAGCCCAGATTCAAAGGTCTTCAGACATGTTATCGTTCTGCAAATATCCCTGGATCAGAGAAACATAGTCCATCTCTGGAAACCTACCTTCTCTGTGAAGGCCGTAATGACCATGGCGTGGGTCATCAGGGAGTCCCCAAAGATCAGCCGTTCGTCCTTTTTCAGATTCTTGACCGACACGCCAAATACCAGCTTGTGATTATATCTGCAAAGATGAAATAGACAACCGTAGCAATTCAGTGCTGGTGGGCGAGTGAACTGGCTCTGTTTAGAACGAGCCCCAATTTCCTAGCTTGGAGTAGGAACTGAGAAGAGTTTTGCAGGATCACAGCAGAGATACAAGCAGTAGTGCTGATGAATTATTGCTCAGTTAATTGAGTTTTACATTTATTAAACTGGTAAGTTAGTAAACGTCACTTCGAATGGCTGAAGCAGATTGCAGTCCATTAACACAATATGAACAGTTACAATGGATTTCCCTGCCTTGTTTTTTAATGGCTTAAATAATGCATTTATTTTGAACGAATTAAAAACAATGGATCTTCAACCTGCTGCTGAAACTTTGAACAAATTCGAGCAATGGATTATTCTGAGGCTCTGGGTCATGTTGAAGCTCTTTAAAACAAATTATTTCGAAGTGTATTTGGGTCTTCCACAACACTTACATATTCATATCGTTTATGCCGAGCTTGCTATTGAAGTATTTTCCAACATCACAGCCAAACCACACAGCCTAAAGATGGGAGAAAAGAGAAACGGATGGTCCCAGCCCTCTGCAAAAGCAAACAGAACTGGAGAATAGAAGGTGACCTAGGAGAGACGAGAAGGCCAACGGGTCTCACCTCTCCATCCCGGATGGAAGATGCTGCCACCTTTTTCAGGAGCTCAATTGGCTGATTGTTGTAAAGGGTCTTCCTCCCTCCAACCATGTTACCAAGGTACTCCACCGTATACAGTCTGTAGTACTCGTTCTTGGGCCGAGGGTCATTGACCAAGCAAATCTGTAAGTCAAAATTATAGAGATCACTGGAAGGCAAGTATCCTTCTAGACACTCGAGTCCTCTCGCTCTGCTGGATTGCCACCCCAAGTGAAACAGCATGAATGCTCTCAGTCGTGGCAAAGAAATAATCATGCCACTGGGGAAGTCCTCCATGGGGCAAGAGTGGAGAGGGACATCTCTTGCAGGTCTCCAGCATCTGCTTTTCAGGTGCAAATGGTCCCCGAACACAGAGGCTCCATTTAGATATTGTGGCTGATCAATCCCCGAGCCCACCTGATCCAGAGGAGATGACGCGACCCCAAGGAAAGGGAGGTGGGTTTGACTTCAGCCCTCAGCCGTGTGCCTTTTGGAAAAGTCTGCAGGCCCTTCCTTGGTGGACACGCCAAGGGGAGAACGAGGGGCTGAAGGAGCCTTAGAAGACCAGACCCGCAAGAAGAGGGCAGAGCAGCAAGGTGGCCTTGCTTGAGGAAAAGATGGGGACCGCAAGGGCTTCGCGACTCATCCCAGGTATTTACAAAGTGAGCCTCCCCCCCCACACACACACGCCGCCCGAAAGCCTGTCACGGATTGTCTACAGGGGGCTTTAGCTTCCTGCATCACCCAACCTTATCTTCCATGTTGAAGACAGGCTTGACGTGTTCCTTGTAGAATTGGAGCGGGGAGATGGGCCCGATTCTGTGGTAGTTCTTCTCCTTGTCGTAGAACTCCCAGGTGAACGTCTCTGGCGGACTCCCCAGGCAGATGGTGACCACCCTGAACACCTGGCGGGAGAGCGGGGGGGCATAAAAAGGCAAATGAGAACCCCATCTGTTTGAATCGGCTGCCAGGCGCGAGTTCCGAGGACCTTTGACCACGGCTTAAAAGCCCCAGCCTAACGTGGCGTATCTCTGATGCTGCTATGCAGAGTTCTCGCAACCGGTGTGGAGTTCAGAAATAACCATTGGGAGCCAAGTGGCGTGAGCCGAAACGAAAAAGGAAAGAAATAAATCCAGCCACCAGCCATTTCCTTCTGTTGTACAATAAAAGCAAGAGGGAGTAAAGTAAAACCAGACGCAGGCTATCAAGCTGGAACTCTGGTGAACCTTTGCCACCGTCCCCAGTGAGGAGACGGTCTGGGAGCCGTGCGTTGAGCCCATGCCGGCCGGAAAGCCCCCCCCCGATGGCTGGGGGCAGGAAGGGCATTGGGTGAGGCCAGGGCCAGCGGTCCAAGTGGTCTCCCCTCTCCTGCTCAGGCAGCCAGGAGGAAGGACAGGAGGAACAGCAGTGGGAGGTTTGGAACAACCCGAGAGCAGCTGGCCCCGGCCAAGCCCCCAAAGCAGGGCTTCTGATTTCACCTGCCCGGGGCTATAAGCGGAGGGCTCCGGGCATTGCCCCGGAAGTTAAAGCAGATGAGAGAACCGCAGCTGGCGGGCACGGGGCCCCTAAACACAAGGAGTCCCAGCGTGTGGCCAAGAGGATCCGTGCCGTACCCGGTATCGGGCTGCCCTCTAGTGCAGAAACCATGTCCTTGCAATGCGGCCGGCACAGAGCAAGGGGCTGTGGCAAGCAGGGCCAGATGTCATGTGAGCGGCAGTCACACTGAGAGCAAACACAGATTTTTTTTTTGGAGGGGGTTGAGGAAGAGACCCACTTCTCCCAACCGCTGAACAGGGACCTCACCTCCTCGATCATGGTGTCCACAGCCCCGCAGAGCTCCTCCTTGTTGCAGCCGGTTTCTACCATATTTCTGATCCGGAGACAATATTCCCGCATCTGTTTGGTAAAGCAAAGAGAGGGGCTGGTTGGAAGCAAGGAGTCATCCCTTTTCAGGAGGCCCCGTGCTCCCCGACAAGAGGCCGAGGCCACAGATGCTCATTTCTGCAAGCAGGGCCATGCGCCGTTTTTGGAAAAAGGAAGCACGTGAAGAATCAACCTTCGCCAGGTATCCAGGATGAGGAAGGGCCGTTCTGAAACGTGGGCTCCTGCACACGGTTAAAGACCTGCTGGAGGTGGCCCTTCTCTGTCTCCAGTCACTGAGAGCTGAACGCGACATGGAGGGGGGTGGAGAAAGTTTTCTCAGTTGTTGCACCTTGGGCGTATAATCCCCTCCCCTCCGAAGTCTGACTAGGTCAAGTGCTGCCCCGTTTTTGGACCTCGAGATAAAACCCGGGCCTTACTTTGCTTTTCGGTCTACTGGAATGTGGGATATTTCAGTTGTTTTAAAGTTGTTGCTACATTCTGAAAAATCTTCCATTGCAGGAAGGACTGAAAATATTTTAATCATAAATCTAGCTAGGGTATATTCTAGCATTGGATCCCTTGTAAGGCTTGTAAAGGACCCCGGCTGTCTTTCCTGGATACGAAGACTGCTAAAAATATGCATATGGCTACTCAGATTTTACAGGCTCGTTTGCACATCAGTGCTTAAGCAAAAAACAAGCGCGCAGGTCAGAGATTCTACTCTGCAAAACCCATCGCTGGCTGTGAGAAAGATTTCCCTGCCCAAAGTTTCAGAGGCGCCAGCTGTTCCCACATTTGCGCAGAACACACCCTTCTTTCATTACCTTGTGGTTCAGGATCTCATTCATCCGCCTGGAGGCCTCGGTGGTGTACGATTCCGGGTACAGCTTCTTGGGAACAAGGCCATATTTTTCTGAAAAAGAGCACCTGTCCATTATTCGCTGGAACCAGAGAGGTACAAAAGAGATCGTTCCGCCTTCTGCACGCACAAGATTACCATCGGGCTGCGCCAGGGAAGCGGGGAAAGGGCGTAGTGGCCAGGTGGGGTGAAGCGGCCTCTAATCTTCTCTGCTCTGCTTCTCTCCGCCCTTTGTTTTTGGTATGGGATGGCCACAGTCCAGAACTCAGCTTTGCTTGCCAAAGGTCCAGTCCCCGGTTTTGAAAAGGGTGGAAGGCCAAGGGAGTCTCGCCTCTCTCTCCGCTTAGAGAGACAGAATATACTGGGACTGAGACGGAGAGCCCAGTGAGACAGGGAAGCCCACACAGGCCAAATGAAGGGTGCTGCTCTCCGGGTTTGGGTCAGCTTCCCAAGCGCTTGAGGCCGAGACGAAACCGGGGTCTTTCTTACCAATGAGGTTCACCAGCATGTCCCACTGTCCACCATCATTGCTGGGATTGGCGAGCAGGAATTGCACCAGCCGGCCATCAACGGGCTCTTTCTTCTGCGCTGTCTCCACATACGCATGCAAGAAGTAGTAGCAGCGCTCCACCTGGGAAGTCAACGTCCACCAGGATCCGGGTTAGGAAGCAGGATTGCGGAACTTTGCTAGGCTTCCCCCCCCCCAAGACCTCCGCCTGCGTTCTGATCCTTGCCTCCTTGTCTGCTAAGAACTCAAGTCCTCTGGGACCGTGTTTGACATACTGGGGAGGGAGGTGTCTTTAAACACGGGCCACGGGCCCTACCCCTGCTTCACTGCGCCCCCCCCAATCCACTCCTGTTGGCTGGTGTCTTAATGGCCCTGAATCAGTTGCTCTGAGAATCTCACAGCCCGGGCCGGCCCTGCTGTGAGGCAGAGTGGATCAGCGGCCTCAGAGAAAAGACACTATAAAGGCGAGTGAGGTGGCACTCCAGAGTGGCAAACCCATCCATGATTCACTCTCGGAATCATGCCTGTCGTTCCTTGTGTTTTGTTTGTTTTAACCGGTAGAGAATGGGAGAGGAGCCCCGTGGGTCTCAAAATAACTGGGATGGGGTTCAGGCAGAAGTTGGAAAGAGGCTTCTTTGGGACCCAACTCTCAGAATCCCCCGAGGTATCCAGCCTGTGGTAAGCGTCTCCAAATGCTGACTTTTAAGGCGCTTTTTACACCTCAACTTGAGCCGACGGGCCGGCTTCCTCTGAATGTTTGGTAAACATCCTCTTTCATCACTGTATGCCTCTTCTAACATTACCAGAGAATCAGGAAACCCTTCCCCACCCCTTCTTCCTCCCTCTTTCCCCGTCTTTTGCAATTTTAAAACCATACAAATAACAATCTGTATTCTGATTTGTGCAAATGGCAAGCAGATTGCCCCATCTTTTTATGCCTAAAGGTAATTGCAGTAATTATGGGTGGCCAGATTGGAAACATGGCCAGAACTGAGCACAACAAACTACAAGAAGCTCAATGCAGCCTTCGACCACCGGACCCCTTTTCCAGCAGTTTTGGGCCACGACTTCCAGAACCCCCTTTCTCAGCCCGTTAGGCATTCTTGGAGTTGCAATCCACCTGTCGATGTGGTTTCTGAACCGCAAGGAGTGTGTTCTCCAGAGAGCTCGTTCTCCCCCTCCTCCCACCCCCCAACGAAAGACCTGCCCGGTGGAATGCACACCTTGTCCCAGAAGAAGAGGTACGCCTGGCTGAACTCGAACTCCTCGACGTTGAACTTCTTCATGAACGGGAGGCGGATCACGTTCAGGCACGAGAAGATCCAGCAGCGTCCTGAGGGACAGAAGAGCACAGGAGGGATGAGCGGGGGGGGGGGAGGACAGCGGAACAGAAGGACTGCCTCCTCCCACCATCTCTCCAAGGAGAAGGCAAAGCTAAAGGACCCACGCGCCTGGCAGTACCTCAGGTCCTCATTCTCCGTGGACAAAGGGGTCTGCAAAAGCTTCCCCTGCCCCCCCCCCAGGGATAGACATTGGTTGGCGATTCCAACCCAACCTCCAAACCTTTTCCAGAAACAGCTGGGAATTCTCTCCTTGGCCATCATCCACATCCCTTCAATCTAATTCACAATGGTCTACACTGGATCTAGGCAGGTCTCTCCTGGATCTCGGGCAACATGCAGACCTGGAGAGCCTCTCCCTGCAACAGCACGTTCTCTGCTGCGGTGCAGTGGCAAGTTAAGAGTCTAGTCCTCATGATCCTAAAGAACCATTTGACTGAAACAGACACGCAGGAAGGAGGTTTGCCACAACTCAGGCCACCGGTCCACTTAACTCATGGTCGATGTGGCAGAAATAGCTTCCTCTGGTTGGCCTTTTTCCTCGGGGGAGAAAATGGATGAAGTGTTTCATTTCTGTAAAAGGCCTTTCCCTTTGTTACGTGCTGTCCAGTTGGAACTGACTTACAGCAACCTTAATAGGACTTTTAAAGGAAGTGAGGCATTCAAGATCCACACCCCCAGTGAACTCCTGTAGCTGAGCAGGGATTTGAACCCAGTTCTAGTACATCACTCTACACCACCCTGGTGGTTATTATTCCTATATCCTTCCCCCTATTTTTTTTTAAAGGGGGGGGGGCAACCCTTCTGAGCAGTCCCATGAGCTCTACTGTCACATGGAAAGATCCAGGTTAAAAAAACTTCTACACCATCCCAAAACCCTCTGGGTACTCTTGGGCTGCTAGTTCTAATCTCTCTTCCAGTCTGAGCTACCTCGCAGGAGTGTTGTGGCCATGGTAGGGAGGAGAGCTACACAGGGCACCTTGAATTTGCCCGAGGGAAGGCAGAATAGAAGAGCCACCCAGACAGACGTCAATTAAATGAAGATTGGCTTTTCAAGGACTCCTTTGGGCTTGATCATGACAATCAGGAAGGATACGAGGCGGATTGGGGGGCGGGAAGCATGTTCTGACTTGGCAGAGCTGCTTTGAATCCTCACACAGGAAACGTGTCTTTGCTACCATGGTTAAGAAAACGTCACGGGGCAATCCCGAGAGCGACCGAGGCGGCCCATTACCTGAGTTCTTCTGATTGGTGACGGGCTTGCCCTCGGCAGGTATCGCGTGCTGGAAGACCTGGAGCGTGTCCTGAACCACACCCCGCTCCAGGCACACCTCCAGCGGATCAGCGGCGGAGGCAACATTCTGCGCCAACAGGTACCGGGGCTCGGCTTTCAGGTTTTGGCTGAAACTTTCGATCTTTTTCAGGGACAACCCTGTCAAAACAAAAGCGGAAATGACAAAAAAAGAGAGAGAGAGTCAGAAGCACGTGGTTTTAGGAACATCGCTGAAAACTCACACGGTATACATTTCAGCAAATACATGGCCCGGAAAGGCAGGAGAGTCCGTGCCAGGGAATTGCGGATATCCTGGTTATGACGCAGGGAATATATTCTGTATATTCTCAGAGGCAATCTTACTCTACAGCTTGACTGCTTTCTCTTCCTCGTTTCAAAGTGCTTTTCACATATAGTACAGGGTTTGTGGGCTGACCTTGCTGTAAACCATCCTCCTGTTTTTTTATTATTATTTGCACTGCTTGCCTAACAGTTTTTTTTTTGGGGGGGGGTTAAAAACATTTGCAATGATGATAATTGACAACAATTTTGAGAGTAAAATCTAGGATTTAGAACCAGTTCTGGGAAGATGCTACACTCCTAAGAGTGTTTGCGATCTCCTTCGTTTTTAATCACAGAAACAGTAGAAAATAGAAACATCAGTATTTTAAGAAACGGCTCGGGTAAATAGACACCTGCCCTTAAGAGGAGACGGCAGGGCAGCCCCATACGAAATGGGCAACTCTAGGTAAACCTTTTGGGTCCCTCCTTGGCTGGCACTTGCTCTCCTGAAATTGCTCTTTGTGGGTGTTCGGCACTCCTGCCCTGATCCGTGCTCATACTAATTACTCCCTGCTGAACAAAGCTTTGCCCTGTGCCAAAGACACGTCTGCTAGGCCCGCCTCGTCCTGCTCCAACGCGCCCTCATCCCCACCTGCCAGGCTCTGGGAACCCAGAGAGGGGCTTCTCTTTAAAATACAGACATTGGGCACCCATCTCCCAAAGATGGAGGGGCTCCTGCTTGCCCTGTTCATGCATTTATCGTCCCAGCTTTCTTTATGGGTGAAGGCAGAGAACTCTGCACATCCCCCGAAGCACTCTTGTCTACTAGCACCAAAGAGGGATGCCCACATCTGAAAAACAGATAGAGGGGTGGGAGACTCCGAACTCTGCAGCTCAGCCCCTCACCCCCACCTCCAGTCCCTCTTCGTATCACCAACTCTGACCAGCCAGTAGTGGCAGGAAAGCCCTCTGCACATGCTCTGCGACCAGGCGATGCCTAGGAAGAAGGGAAGGCGGGCGCTGACCAACAGGTGCGGGGCCCCGATCCTTGTTCCTCCCGAGACCCAAGCTGGGAGGGAGGAGGCGCTCTGCATATGGCCAGAGGCGCACTCGTGTCCCGATCCCGTCGTCCTTCCAGTGAGGGGGAGAGAGAGCGCGAGGGGAGATCGGGGGAGGGGGGGCTGCTTAGGGCTGCCCCTCGGTGTCCCCCCCCCTC